TGTATTTTGACATACCTACATCCGATTATAAAATTATTATTGAAAACCACACTGGGTTTACTTTGTTTATTATATCTTGTACGAGATATAACAGCTGGCGACGAAGGATTGTGCAACACTTACTTGAAAAAAAAAAAATATATATGAACGGATTTTCAAAAGCGGAGTCACAAGTCAAAAGGAAACTTTTTGAAAAGTAAGAATTTTACTGTTAAATTTTTTATATATTGAACCGACTCAAATTCTAAATTCAAGTAAAAATTACGGTTGTAAAAATGGACGCTGTAAATTGTCTGTTGAGTGTTAACTGTCTAAAAAAAAAAAAATTTTTTTTTTTTTTTTTTTACAATTCTAAAGAAAGTTTATGGAGTTATTAGTTGAATGACTAAAAATGCTGTGCAAGTCTAATAATTGAAGATTCAACAAAATTACAACAAAGATATTACAGCAACAACAACAGCACCAAGAGTTACAAACAACAAAAAAAAAGAGTTACAGCAACAAAAGCACCAAGAGTTACAGCAAATTCTAAAGCAAAAGAGTTACAGCATGAAACAGCACCAAGAGTCAGCAACAAAAAAACAGCACCAAGAGTTACAACAACAGCAACAAAAAACAGCACCAAGAGTTACAACAACAGCAACAAAAACAGCACCAAGAGTTACAACAACAAATATTGCAACAGCAAAAAAGTCTCGAAAAAATTTTGAAACAGGCGACTGGAGAAAGAAAAAATACTGTTTTTTCTGCCGAAGGAATAGCAAATTCATTATCCGAATTTATTTATGATCCTGATTCGGGCATTACATTTCCAGCGTACTTTAAACGTTTCGAAACTATATTTACCAAGAGATGTCAACATTGGTCGGATGAGGAACGAATAACATTATTAGTCCAGAAACTAGGGACAAACGAGAATAGGAAGTACTCAAACTTGATATTGCCCAGAAAGCCAGAAGAAGTTTCGTTTGAAGAAACTATAAGTATTCTGTCAAAATATTTGACGAAAGGAATAGTCTGTTCCACACGCGATACAGATGCCTAAACATCGTTAAAGCAGATAACGAGGATTTTGTGACATACGCGGGAACAGTGAACTCTCTGGTTGAACAATTCAAGTTAGAAGAAATAACCAAATATGTATTCAAGTGCCTAATTTTTTCTTCAAGGACTAACTGATCCTAAATATAAAGAAATTAGGTCGAGAATATTAATAATGGTCAAGCAAGACTCGAAAATAACATTACAAAGGGTGACCGAAGAATGCCAACGTCTCATAAACGTAAAAAGGGATAATATACAAATTGAGGAGAAAAGTGTTGCTAATGTTCGACACGTAAAAACTCAAAAACTCCAAAAGCCAAAAAAGATAGAAAAAATGTGAGACGTGTGGAAAAAAATAACCATACCAAAGACACGTGTTGGTACAAAAATAAATTCTGCCAATCGTGGAAAAAAAATAAAGGGCAAAAATATGTCAATCGGTTTAAGCCATAAAAGAAAAGGAAAGGAAATTACAAGATGTAAGCCTGGTATTATCAGAAAAAGAAATTCAGAACGGTAAAAATAGAAAGTACGTAGATGTGCGTATAAATAATCATACAATTACTTTCCTATTGGATTCTGGTTCAGACATAAGCATCATTGATGAACAAACGTGGAAAAATATTGGAAGACCTAAATTATCTGAAACCAAAAACACTGCTAGAGGGGTTTCAGGAAAGAAATTAAACTTTAAGGGAGAATTAAAGTGCGATGTGGCAAGACAGCAAAAACGAAAGTGTATGTAATCCAAGGGATTAATTCATGTCTTTTGGAATAGACTGGATGATACTTTTTGATTTGTTTGAACTCCCGATTAACTCATTTTGCAACGTAATAAAGAGTGCAGAAAAACAAAAATATTAAAAATGAAAAATTCATAAATGAATTAAAAGAAGAATATCCCAGAGTTTTTTCTGAGGGATTGGGTTTATGTACTAAGACGGAAGTCAAATTTGAACTCAAGGAAAATGTGAAACCAATTTTCAAACCTAAGAGAAACATTCCTTTTTCCTCCTTAGACACAATTAATAAGGAATTGGAAAGACTTGAAAAAAATGGGAGTGATATCTAAGGTTGACCATTCGAATTGGGCCTCGCCCACACAGTTTATGTTAAGAAAAACTGAAAAATAAGAGTGTGCGCAGATTTTCAACAGGATTAAATGATTGCCTTAAGAATCACAGTTATCCACTACCTTCACCAGAAGATATTTTTTCAAAATTGAATGGTGGGAAGATTTTTTCAAAAATCGACCTGTCTGACGCATACTTGCAGATTAAAGTGAGTGACGAATGCTCAAAATATTTGTGTATAAATACACATAAAGGTATTTATAAGCTAAATAGGCTTCCTTTCGGCTTAAAGGTCGCCCCAGCTTTGTTTCAACAGGTGATGGACACTATGCTGGCAGGCCTTGAGTTTGGTACCGCCTATTTAGATGACATTCTAGTCAAAAGTAAGAATGTTCAAGAACATAAAACGCACATCAGAGCGATATTCAAAAGACTAGAAGATTTTGGTTTTAAATTAAGCCACGAGAAGTGTAAATTCTTCATGGAAAGAATTACGTACCTCGGACAGGTAATAGACAGTGAAGGCAGGAAACCGGACCCACAGAGAGCCGATGCAATTAAGAACATGCCTGCACCCGACACAGTTGCGAAACTACAATCGTTTCTGGGGTTGGCACAATATTATGCAATCTACATACCTAAAATGTATGATTTAAGAGCCCCCCCTAAAGAATTGTTAAAAAAAGACAAGAAATGGTTTTGGTCAAAAGATTGCGAGACGGCTTTTCAGAAAATAAAAAAATGCCTACTCTCAGATCTCGCCTTAGCACATTATGATCCTGAGAAAGAGATCATTCTGGCAACTGACGCAAGTTTGTACGGAGTGGGTGCTGCACTGCTACACAAATATGAAGATGGCACTACTAAACCGATCGCGCACGCGTCGAGGACTCTTCTTCCGGCTGAAAAAAATTATAGCCAGATCGAGAAGGAGGCTTTGTCGATTGTGTTCGGGGTTAAAAAAATACCATCGTTTTTTACATGGTAGATCATTTGTTCTGCAAACGGACCATAAACCGTTACTTACAATATTTGGAGGTAAAAAGGCATTCCCTACGCATACAGCTAATCGCTTACGGCGATGGGGTGTAACCCTGTTAATTACCATTTTAGGATGGAATACGTCAAATCTAAAGAACATGGGCATGCGGATGGATTGTCAGGGCTGATTCCAAAAAATGAAGAAATGTTAGAAGAGACGGTTATAGCAGCATTAACTGAGGAAAAAAGAAATATCAGGTCTCTTGTTGAATACAATCAGGGAATTGCCGGTAACGTTGGACCAAATAAAAAAAGGAAGCGGAAAAAGATCACTATATTGTGAAATTAAGGAACCAGACGAGATGGAACAAAAAACAGAAAAAGGGAACTCAGATTTCACCTTTTTCAATTTGCAACAACACATTGATGTACGCAGATAGAATTGTTATACCTCAATCTCTACGTACAGATATGCTGAAGGAATTTCATACCGGTCATCCTGGAATGTCTTGGATGAAATCACTCATGCGTGGTTACGTATACTGGCCAGGAATGGACAAGGATATTGAAGGTTTTGTAAGACTATGTAGAGGTTGTCAATTGGCTGCAAGGGCACCTCCGGTCAAAATGAATCCTTGGCTGAAAACGGATTTGCCGTGGGCACGTCTACATATAGACTATGCTGGACCAATTAATGGGCACTATTATTTGATATTGGTGGACTCTTTATCGAAATGGCCTGAGGTAGTCAAGAAGCATCCTACATCTAGGAACACCATCAGTGCATTGGATGAAATTTTCAGTCGTTTCGGGGTTCCCAGAACATTAGTTAGCGACAATGGTTTCACAAGTATGGAATTTAAGGATTTCTGTACTGCCTTAACATTGAACACATAAACACCAGTGTGTCATCCCAGGTCGAACGGTCAAGCCGAGAAATTTGTTGACACTTTTAAACGAAGTTTACGCAAAAAATAGAGGTATGGACACGGAAGAAACTATTCAAAAGGCAATCTATCTAATGAGAACAACGATGCGAAAATGTCACCGGCGGAAATTATGTTCGCAAGGAAAATTAGATCAATTTTCGATAGATTGTTACCCTATCAAAACAAAGTTGCTAAGAGGAAAAAGTCAACATAAAAAATACACTTCAGGAGACAGTTTTTTTTTTAATTTTAAAAGTGGAAAAAGCTATTGGATGGATGGCATAATCCAGAAAAGGATTGGTAAAGTGGTCTACACGATTAAAAGTAAAAAATTTACGTGTAAAAGACACATCAATCAGATTAGACCACGATATGGTGAAAAAAGCGAAGAAGAAATTCCGATGGAAGTGTTATGCGATGCTTTTAACATGACACTACCCAATAGTGCATTTGAACCTGTATCGCATGGACCAGCCTTACGGACTGAAAAGCGGAAATTATCTTCGCCAAAAAGGATCTAATTGTGACGACTAAAAGAAGGAGCACACGGGAAAGAAAACCAGTGGAGCGTTTTAGTCCGGATCCAAAAGAAGACGATTAGAAGCAGAAATTTTCAAAGGAAGAATTTCAGCTTCGGGGAGGTGTTGTGATGAGATAACCCAACTTCCCCATTCACGATAATGGACGGACTGGTTGCCGATAAAGTACGACCACAGTAAACAGTAGAAGCAGTAAAAAAAAGGTCTTCGTTTGTTAACACCATTGCGGTTAGCTTACTCCTGACTCTGTCTCTGTATTTTGACATACCTACATCCGATTATAAAATTATTATTGAAAACCACACTGGGTTTACTTTTGTTTATTATATCTTGTACGAGATATAAGTGTGTGTGTATACAAATACATAAATAAACAAAACTTTTTTCACACTAAACATTTTGATTACACATAAAAAAAGTATTATTTGACTTACAGCAAGTCCTTTCGGGCCTATAGGTCCTGGATTACCTTTGGGACCACGGTATCCTGATTCACCTTTTTGCCCCTGTTTAACAAAAAAAAAAATATATATATATATATTAGTGAATTTAAATTTCAAATTCATTAAAAAAAAAAAAAAGAAGAAAAAACAATAGAGCATAAGACATGCTGCTCTTCTACAAGTGACTACTATTTCCACCTCCCATATCAAGTGTTATAGAGAGATTTACTTTTGTTAATTTTTATTAAAAAAAAAAAAGATTCAAAATCTTTGTAAATTAATCTTTTACTTTAGAGACAAATTCAATAATGAAGTTAGCCAAAGAAGCTTAGAGAAAGGAAAGAATTATATTTACAAAAAGCAGAGCTGAAAAATTAAAAAGAAAAAAATTACTTTCAGTCCATTAATGCCAGGTCTGCCAGGAAATCCTTTCTCTGCAGTAAAACCTTTAGGACCAAATTCTCCAGATATACCTTGCTTGCCTCGTTTGCCCTATAAAACCAAAATCTGTCATTAATTTTATTTTTCTTATAAAACAGCTTATTTAATAAAATAGACAAAATATTTCCAATTATCAATTAAATTATTATTTTATAAAGCAAAAACATATTTAAAATTTTCCCCATGAAAAGTAAATTATTTATTATATTTTAACTTCATTCTTAGGTTTAAAAGAAATGCTGAATGACAATAAAAAGAAAAGTGAAAGATGCTGCAAAAAATAAGGAAGCAATTACAAACCCTTCTGCCAGGTGGTCCTTGAGCTCCAGGGAAGCCTTTTATGCCATCTAGGCCATCAAAACCCTTTAAAAAAAATATTTTTTATAAAAAATGAATATACAAAGCAAAAAAAAAAAAAAAAAAAAAATTGTAAAAATCTTATTTGCATTAGTTTCTAGAAAATCGAATCCTTTAATTTCTGCTGTTAAGTTTTTTTTGACAGAATTCAAAGATGTAATAATTAAAAACTGGCTAATTTAATAAGATTACCTTATCACCACGCATTCCTTTCAATCCAACTATACCAGCGTATCCAGGTTCACCTTTTTCTCCTTTAACTTGAATAATTTCTGATGGATTGCCTTTGCTTTCACCAAAATTACCAGGTTTTCCAGGTAGACCCTATACAAAAAAAAGATAATGCAATAAATAACCTTGGTAATAGCCATATTAAATTCAGTTTAGTGTCTTTCTCTTGAAAGTTCCAAAATTGAGTATATAAATTAAAAATATTATTACAACACTTAACAGGCTTGGTTAAAATGAGGCAGCTTACCTTAGGACCTGGCAATCCTTTTAGTGCTGGTCCAGCTTTGTCTCCATGAAGACCAGGTTCACCAACATCACCCTTGATACCTGGGGGACCCTAGCAAGAATAATAAAAATGGTGGCTTAGTTTATAGTAAAATCAACTATTTTAAGAAATGCTATGCAATTTAGAAATTAAACTGAAAATATTATATATAATTTATTTATAGAAAATGAAAGAAGGTAAGGAGAGAGAGAGTGCATGTATAAAATATATATATATATTATACACACACAGACTTGTGAATACTGTATCAAACATGGTGATATGTATATAGAAACATAATATAGTATTTTTTGTAAATGTGGTTTTATATATATATATATATATATATATATATATAAAAAGAGAGAGAGAGCTCTCAGTCACTAGCATGTTTATCTATAAATAAATACACTTAAATTCACCTTCATTACTGCCATGTGCCAACAGCTTAGGGGTAGATTCTCCAACTGACGCCAATTCAGCCAGGTTTCGATCCTAGCTAGAGGCAACCAGACATCTAGCCACACTGATGAGCTGTGATACAATGAAACAGTCTGTCTTGATAACAATATATATGCTCTGGAAAAATTATTTCACTTGAGCTCTCTGGGGAGAATGTGAGAGTTTGTAAACAGTGACTATTACTGCTACTAATGCAATACTCTTTAATAAAACGAATTGAGTTCTCTCAGTTACTGACATGTTTATCTAAAAATAAATACGCTTAAATTTCCCTTCATCCCTGCTGTGCAGCAAAAGCTTAGAGATAGATTCTCTGATTGACATCAATTCAGCCGGGTTTTGATCCTATCTAGAGGCAACCAGATGTCTAGCCACACTGATGAGCTGTGATAAAGCGAAACAGTCTGTCTGTGGATGACTATATATATACTATGAAATGGACTAAGTCCTACAATTATTCTAATATATTTTCTGTTTATACCTTATAAGTAAATGCTTTGTTTATAATGAACAATATTAATTACATTTACCAGTCTGAATGTGCAAGAAATTTCATAGAAAATACGTGGCCTCCGACATGAATCAAACCTGTATCCTAAATGGAACCATCATTTGACTTGACATGCTATACCATTTAGCTAGAGGAATACAGGATATATGTTCGATTCTTGTCGAAGGACACACATTTTTTACAAAACACTTAGGCTGGTATATGTAATTAATACTGTTTATTATAAACAGATCATTTACTTAAATAATTGTATTTATAATATTAACATATAAACAGAAAATATATATATATATATATATATATGTAGATGTGCCATATTTGTGTTTATGTTTGTATTATTTTTACTTTATATTTAACTTATATATATACCTTTGTAGTCTGAAGTATATAAGTTGTGTGGAAGTGGTTTTACACTTTTTTCTCCATTTATTTATGTTCATGTCAAATACAATGTTTTTAAACAATACCCACAAATAATATCGACAGCATTACTATTACGATACTCTGGTATATACATCAAAATTTAAATTATGTAATAGTCAGTCTTAGATTGCAGTTGAAAATTGGTGTTGTGCTACTGGTGAGGGAAAAAAATGTATATTATATATGAGATAGAGTAACTGCATAAAGTTTGAATTATAGAAGATTATATTTTTTACTGATTCCCAAAGCCAAATGCAATGCACAGTAAAATGTTAGAGATTTTTTACTTTTTTTTAAAACTTAGTACATTAAAAAATGAAGCTCAATAATTCATAGTTACTTACAATAGGTCCAATAGGACCAGGATCTCCTCTTGATCCTCTAAAACCTTCTAGACCAGGATAGCCCTATATAAAAAAAGCAATAATATTATTACAACATTTCAGAGACATTAAGATGAAGCAGCTGAAATAATTACAGTTGAATTTTTCAAGCTCTTTATAATATTCCCTATGATGATGATTGAATTTCATCTGAAAAACAAACTTATCATATTTAGTAATCTTTTAAAATGTATAACCAAAAAAATAACAGAGTACTCTTGATATATCATCGCAATATTGCATCTAATATGATAATTGTTGGTTACTTGAGTGCAATCCACAAAACTGGCACAGCTTTTACCAAAATACTCAAAGAAAATTGTTCATTTAAAATCCCAACTAATGCCAATTAAGTCAGAATGTTTATTACTTCAAAGTATTTGTTTAGAAACAAAGACAACTCCAAACAACAACAACAGGGTCATCTTATGACTTTAACATCTGTTTTGGTTCTTTTAATTGAAAAAAAAAAAAAAACAATTTCAGTATTTGTGTTAATGATATTTTATTAAGTGAAAGAAAATAATGAAATCCTTTGCAACAAAGAATACGTACAGGTTCATCAATGCCATCTTCTCCTGGATCTCCTTTGAACCCAACAAGGACTTCACCCATTTCTCCCTAAAATTTATATTGAAAAAAAAAAAAAAAATAGAAGCTTTTAAAAAATATCAAGCATTCAAAATATTAGCATTTCTACACTATAACAAGACAATAATAGCATTGCTCTAGTATAAAAAAATGATCATTAAATACCTAGAATGCAAATTTAACTCAATTTCATGGAATAAGATTTAATGATCTTTAAATGATAAGAATACAAACTAAAAAGATGCTATAACCCATAAACACAATTGGGTACCACAAAACAATAATGGAAACTATTAAATTTTTAGCATTGCATTAAAATGATCTTTCCAATAAATTTATTAAACCAAATGAAAATAAAATATTTTATTTAAATAGGTAATATCTAGTTTGTATTTTTAGATACACCAGATTTTTCTTACATCACTTATAAATCTGTTGACAAGATGCTGATAGCTTCAAAACAAATCAAACTAAATAGAGTTCATAGTTAAATGAATAATCTCATTCTGTAATAAATAGAACTAAAAAAAGTAATCAAAAGCTAATTCATGTTCTCATTTCAAATATTTATATTTTTATTAAGTCAACTGTAGTCAGGATCATTGAGTCAATGCAAATTCCACAAGCCTTTCCTTAACAACATAGTATTTGCTTTGCCAGGGCCATATATTGTTTTGAATTCAGAGTTGTTCTTCTCCTTGACTGCCTGCCAGCCAAGGCTACAGAACACAGACTGCCCTACTATTTAACTATAGTTGGAGGTTTTGAATTCAGAGTTGTTATTCTCCTAAACTGGTTACCACCCAAGACTATAGGATTCAGTCTGTCCTGCTACAAATATTAACCTATAGCCGGGGGAGAAGAGATAGATGCATACCTTTCCCAAGGATATTTGCACATAAGTGGATGTAATGAATTTGACTGGAATTCAAACTCAGCTTCCCAATTCCTCAATCTAGGCTGCAATCCATTTTTCCCATTGTGCCTCCCCAAATATCATGCAAAGAACTAAGTAAAATTAATCAATTCTAGAAAAAATATTAAAAAAATTTAAATGTTCCAAATTCGAAGTCAATTTAAACCTTTCAACTTTATTTTGAGAAATTGAAATTTGCCTCAAGCAATGCTTTGTTATTGGGAAAAGTTTTTGCTGAAGTATTAATAGTCAAATACTGTGTTCATTTTAAGTTGGGATTAGAATTCTATATTGATATGAAAGAGCAGATGAATCAATCTCAAATAAAGTAAAGAATATAACAGGTTGTATATTCACTAACCGAAGACCATCAAGACCAGGTGATCCTCGATCACCTGGTCGTCCAGGAATACCAGGCTTGCCAGGAGTTCCAGCAGCTCCCTAAAAGAAAAAAAATATAAACAATTTGTGAATTCAAGCTTTAAAGCAAAAACAAAGGAATATTGACTAAATGAATAGTTCAAACAAAAAAATGTCAATTAAAATCGAAAACTAGTAAAACAATAAAATAAAACAATATCAATTTGCACAATTTCATATTAAAACTTGTGAGATTTGCTTTATTCATCAATAATACAAATTGTAACTATGATTTAAGCCATGTTGATTGGATGTATAAAAAGGATTTCAAATAACTTTAGTCTATACACTCCACTCTTATGCAGAGTTTGAAATTAACTTTTTCATCTCCCATATAAAGAATTCCTTTTGGAAGTGATAATAGGAATTTGACTTTCTTTACATTAGTCTTGCTAGTTCTTGAGCTCTTCTTTCTTATTAAAACTCAAACATTTATTCAGGATACATAAGTATCCAAGTTTGAACTGATGCTTTATTTCTTTAGTTTCAATGTTAGAATTTCAAAGAAATAGTTTAATCTCAAGTAATATTTTCTTTGTCACTAATGTACAAATCTAAATAAATGCACACTCTTAAGAAGGCAGACCAATCTTTTATGATATTCTCACCAGTATTCTATGACAAAGAAATCAATATAAATGCAATATATTCATAAATGAAGAAGCAATTTATAAATATGAAATGCAAACACTAAGAATATTCATTATTCAATCTATTAAGAGAAGAGAGAATTGTTAAGTATATTCATATTCATATTATTGCTTTAAAAAAAAAAAAAAAAAAGCTTCTTTTAGAAAGGAAATTATTCAAGTTTAAATAACTTCACATTTTACTATTCTAGTAATTGTCAAGTATTAATTTGTTAGTATAGACACTATTAAAACCAATTACTTCCATCTCTAGGGAAAATTTGCAATAACCAAATATTTAGTCCACTAATGCCCATTATAAAATCCAGTATTAACAATAGATTTTTATATAAAAATGATATTAATTATAGATTTCTAACTATGAGCTATTAATGTTCACTGTCCTATTTATTGTATGGTGAGCATTAATAGGTTAATCACATAGAAATCCTATATTCTGAAGCATTTTGATAAATGATTTCAAGTACTTTCCTTTAATGATATTCTAAAAACTTGTCATCTAAATGCAAAAATTGGCTAAAACAAATGCTTATTGATATTCGACAATTTTTTTCATTGAATTGTCAGCACTTAAAAAAGTCAGTAAGCTTGTAAAATAAAAATATAACCATATAACATGTTTTTGACTGCAAAAATTAGTTAAATATTTAATTGTTTCCAGTACTTAAAAATGACACTTGAAGAAGTGAAAAGCTGTTGAAGAGATTTTGAAATGAATCAGAAAACACTATTATCTCATTTCAAGTGAGTGAAGAATAATTTGGCTTGCAAATTGGGTCAAACATGCACTCAATTTGAATGTCAGTTGATAAACAAAGATCAGCTGGAATTTCTGCTTGATACTTCACACACATTAACTGTAAAATATTGTGCCAGCATAATGCCATGCATCTGTGCACAAATGACTTACTAAGAGTAGCAGCCGGTAAAAGATGCCATCTTCCTGCACCCTCCTATAGACAGGCCACCATGTGACTAACAAAATAATTATAGTCACTTGTCTTCCCACACCTACTCCCAAAACATTAATTCCAGCCAGATTTTACAACTAGACTGCCTTATCCCTTTCATTCTGTTCTTGCCTGAAAAAGTCATTGACTGCCACAAATACTGACATGTACAAATATAACACAAATGCTATAAATTTGCAAACATCTATTTTTCAAGATAAGACTAGAAATTTTCCTTGCTCAACAAATGCATGAGGGTGGTCCTACACTAGATGAAGTGAGTGATAGATTGTTAATTCATATCTGACATCCAGTTTCATGGTAATACAAACACAAGCAGATGACTCTTGCCAGGAAAACATTATACAGAAAGTTCAGTCAATGTTAACAAACATGAAAACTATTAACAAGATTATTCTCCTTTTTTCTCTTTCCCTTACATATCACTATGTATCCTGTCAGTCCTTTTTTTCAAGTTTAATAAACTTAACCCAGTTTAATAGAAAATCAAAATGTTAGATTTTTTATTAAATACTACTACTATTACTACTGCTGTTAATTCCAGCAGATTCTTGAATTATCTTTCAAATAGAAAAGGATATTCATTGCTATCAGCAAATATTTCTGCCAATATTCAATGAGATGTAAGTGGTTTACCTTGAGAAATATTTCAAAAGATACATCATGTTCTGACTAGAACAGTGAAAGCTTGATTCAAAAACTGTTGCTTTCAGCTGGGTGATTATGGAGATAAATTACTTTTTAAGAGAAGATTAATTGCAATACAGTTGTTTTTCATCTTGAATCTTTCCTACATCCCATTCTACTTATGGGAGAAAAAATATGAACATCATCTAAAGCTCATTGGAATAGAATTTTTGTTGATGAGCATTTTATGAAAAAGATTTGTTACATTTTGAGTCTTCATTGCAGTGTTTGTCATTTATTGGTGCTTTGCCTTAATTCAACAATCTCATCTTTTTAGCTGATAAAATCTGTCTTTTACATTTACAATCTCTGAAAAAATTTAAGAGAACCTGTGTGTGTGTAAGTAAAAGCTTTTTGTGGCTTAACTCATAAAATCAAGCTTTTTGCTAGTGAAAACTTTTTCTTATATATTCTTAGTTCTCTGCACTGCTCCTAGTTGCTCAGTTCAAATACTGACCATGTCATACACTTAGATTCAACAATTTGCTAGTGAAAGGGTTACAGTGATACATAGAAACAAAGTTTATTTTAATAAAACAGAAAATTAAAAAAGCTATCCTTCATGTGATAAAGAAATTAAATAAAAGAACACATTTCAAAAAGAAATAGCAATTGAAAATAGCTAAAAAAACAATGAAAAAATTTCAAAGTGAGACTAAAATATATCACAAAAGCTTGTGCAAAGTAGAGAACTTAGTTAAAATGCTTTATTTGTTCAAAAGCCTAACAATATTTATAGTTTTTAAATTAAAAGTTGAATTAACTTTTCTTGCAGTAAATATAAAACAAGCATTTTCCTTGTTTTATTCACATAAAACAGAAGAAAATAATGTATTCATTCAATGTCTGTATAGTAAATGATAGTAAAATAAACCAAAAGAAGTTATTAAAGTAAAGCTTTCTTGAATGGACAAATTTTTTAACCCAATTTTATTTCTACAAAACCTTTTAAGTGAAGCACTATGGGAACAAATTCACAGTCATCAAGAAAATAAAATAAATAAACACTAAAGACAAATCCCAATTCACTGAAAAACATTTGATGCATTTCACATTCTTTTCAAAATCATTGTAGATGATAAAATTCTTTCATGTAATAATGTCACAAGGGTTGCTCTAAAAGTAATGTCATTTATATTATTATGATAGTCTTTGATATCAGAGACAGATATTGGTGGTGTGGCAGTAGAGGATGAACCTACCTGGCAATGACCCATAATTTTCATTTTAGCTTTGTTACAGATAACAGCTAGGTAGCTGTCTGGTAAAATGGCATCTGACATAGAAGTAGGTATATACTAGTGTTTCATTGAATTCTTTCATAAGAATTACTCAACATGTGATGAACATTTACCAACAGACCAAACAGTGAATATGAGCATAGTTAAATGGTGGATCAAAAATGGTGACAGTGATAGGTGTGACAAGTTATGTCTTAAGTGGGCCTACACAGCTATTAATTTACAAAATGAAAAGCACCTTGAAAATACATAGTTAAATGCAGTAACTGTGTAGAAAAATAGTATTTTATAGCTAGAAACAGGCTATCCAACAGCATTATTTTGGTGCCTGTATCTGCTGCAGTTTGAGTTGAAATAGCTAAGAGATATTATTTTCAGTGTTCCTGGTACAAAACCAAAATATGCTTACTGCAAGCTTCCAATGAAATTTTAATTGCATTCAGAGTGTTTAATCTCCCAAAGTAAAATATAATATTGTGGATAGAAGATAAGCTGTTGAAATCTATCACACAACAGATTCAAATTAAAATGGATAGGTCAAAAATAGCTATTTATTCTAGAATAAAAAAACAGAATAATTTTCTAGTAGCCATGAATTATAGGCTATCATTTTAATATCAAATAATAACACTTATTTAGTAAATAAAGATGCATAGATACTTCCCATAAATATAGATAAATATTTTTTTCAACTGAGTGCAAATGGCTACATCCTGTGATAATCTTGTTTGCCATAATTTTTGGCAACCAAGGTCCAGTTAGACATTTGGGAATTAAAACCGGAAAATATTGTCTTCCAGTCAGGAATTTGACACTTCAAGTTACAGGAAGTCTGTTTGTGGAATAACATTTAAGTTTCTTTTGCAGTGTCATTCAGTCTTTAACCAGAGGAAATGCAATTCAGCAAATTCAAATAATCTTTTATTTTCAAAAGGTGTTTTTACATTCAAAAAGGGTAATCAAGGGTGTAATAGAGAGAGAGAAAGAGAGACAGAGGAAATATAAATGCTTTCAATGTTTCCAAGAGAAGCTTGTGTTAAAAGTCTCCCAAAGATATTGGTAAATATTTGCAATTCTTTAGTAAGAGAGATCTACATGAAAATTAACAATTTCATAAAATTAGGAAAAGAGAAAAAGATTTGTTATCAGTTGCAATAAACTTGCCTTGCTTTTGTTATTATGAAGAAGCGCTAAAAAATATTGGTAGGATGTGATAATTGATTAAAAAACAACAGATTTGAAGTAGAAAAGGGGTTATCTAAAGAATAAAGAAATCATCAATTAAATCAAGTTTATGCTAAACTTAAAACATAAATAATCCCCCACAAGAACATTATAAAACAAAATAAATTACTTTTAGCTTAATTATGCCATTACCTTATATTGAATATAACTATAATTTGTGGGTAAACAGTCCCAGTGTAGATAAACATTTTCAGTCTGTGAAAGTTTCAAAGTAGATTTATGT